CTGTCTGCAGGTAACGGTGAGTCAGAACTGCTTGGTGGGGACCCATGGGTGGCTGCCTTATAACAAGAACATCTCCAACTACTTCACCTTCATTAAGGACCCCACAGTTTCTAACACCAAGTAAGGACACTGCACCATCATCATATGCATATCATATCATCAAAAGTCAGCATGTCTGTTTATACTATAAAGCACTTTTACTGGGTTTGACTCTGGTGCTCAATTCATTTAGAATGGATTTGCATGTTCTGCAAGGCAGTGGGCATGGTGGTCACTGTGCAGTTATCCATGGATCAGCAGGGTGTATAACAGTAATAATAATAATGATAATAATAATAATAATGGAGTTTATTTGTGTATACTTTTCAAAACCAGTATTTCAAAATACTTCCCAGAAACAATGAATAAAAGAACAAACTAGGAGGACAGGTTCGTGTGTAATGGTACGACCCATAACCCAACTATAAAAGACACAAGCAAATGTATTTTATGTAATATAAATTATTGTATATATATTTTATAATCTAATACTTTAGCCCAGTTTCATCAGCTTGTACAGGACTCTTAAGTATAATAACAAACAACTAAATGTTGGTAATATAACATGAAATACATATTTTAATAGAATGTAACATCTGCATTTTTCTTTACCTGTAATTGGTGAAACACCGTGTAACAGCAGGCAGTGAGCAAATCAAGTAATGCCCTTTATATCTAGATGGATGGATATTCTGCCTGTAGCGTGATCTGTCTTCTTGTCATCATCTCCTCACAGAACCCAGCGCTTCCTTTCAGGACCCTTCGCCCCCGGCGTGGAGGTAACCGCTGGATTGTTTGTGGTCTCCCATGATGGAAAGTTGCTCTTCAGTGGTGGGCACTGGGACAACAGCCTGCGGGTCACTTCACTGGTTAAGGGAAAGACTGTAGGACAGCACATCCGGCACATGGGTAAAGAAGGAAAAGTCTTTACTCGCACCACATTGAAAACTATGATAACAAACTCAGTCCTGCCCTCACTAGGTTAGGTTTGTAAGGTCGAGGAGCAGGCATGTGATTGGATAGCTTCTAAATTGAGAGCTTCTAAGTTGTTCTAGATAGCAAGATGGTAAAAAACCTGAAAAAGTGATTATCAACCCAAAAAGAAACAACCACTGGTCATTGCTGTATGTGATTTTTTTTTTTTTTTTTTTTTGTTTTAACCTGTGCTTTTTTTCATCTCCTTCAGACATCGTGACCTGCTTGTCGACAGACCACTGTGGCATCCATCTGATCTCTGGCTCCAGAGACACAACCTGCATGGTGTGGCAGGTTCTGCAGCAGGTTCGCACAGAAACACACTTACAACACGTTATTACTCTGAATTGTCATTGCACAGTCATACGTGTTGTAATCCTACAACAGAATTCGAGTACTTTCCCACATCGGTGGAAAAAGCAAGTCAAGCACAGTAAATAAATACCATATGTACAGAATAAAATGTACACAATATGTGCAGAAATAAGAAAGTAAAAGTGCAAAAATAAATCCTAATAAGGAGCTATTAACTAGAAACTGTTTGTGACTTCTTGTCAAAGTTGGATTTAGTTTTAATTCCAGTTTGAACCTAAGAATGAAAACAATTCCATGATTTCACTTTTTAACAGAAAATGCTTATTAAAAATTAAATTCCTCCATTTTTCCCCATTCACTCGAAAAAGTTCCTTTAGTTGCAATATTAACAAAGTAAGTAGGCGTCAGTCATTTCTGGGTCAGCGATCACACGTTATTGTAGGTTTATGAATAAGAGCTTTATTGAAGTGTAAGCACATATTTTAACAGCTAAATAGAGACTTAGAGGACTTGCATCACCTCTTTCGGTTTGATTGTGGACTTGTCTTTATGCCAGGGTGGAGCTCCTGTTGGTCTCCATCCCAAACCTATTCAGGTGCTGTACGGACACACGGACGAGGTGGTGAGCGTCAGCATCAGCACAGAGCTGGACATGGCTGTATCTGGAGCGCGGGTAAGTCTACACGCCTGACTGCTGCTGAGGGCCTGCAGCTGCTTTTCATCTCATCCTGTCTGGTCATTTAAATTATAATACCACCGTGAGAATGTGTGAAAAGCTATTCTAATCACATGCTGAGTCAATGAGCTGGAAAAGGGTTTAGTGCTGGAATTGTGAGTCTTTGAAGACGGGCAGACCTGAAAGGTTTGAAGCCCCCCCCCCTTAAACTAAACACGTGCATTACTTTGAACTTTGTGCTCCGTTCAACAGGACGGGACAGTGATCATCCACACTGTGCGCCGGGGTCAGTACATGCGCTGCTTGCGTCCACCGTGCGACAGCTCGCTGCCGCTCTCTATCCTCCACCTGGCTGTGTCCTGGGAGGGTCACATGCTGGTTCATACCTGTCTGGAGGGCAAAGCAACACTCAAGGTGTGTGCACATTTTAAGTTTTTAGGCTAACACACAATCTAAAAGGTGGGTAGGACTCTCTGCACATCTCTACGTGTCTGTTTTTTTGTTTTGTTTTGTTATCCACGGTGACCAGATCCTTGTCTCTGACAGTCAGAGGAGGCCAAAAAGCTATAAGCTGACTCAGACCTCTACATTTAAATAAATATAAACTAATAATTACAATACAGTGCACGTGAAACGCAGAACAAGCCACCATGGAACAGACCTAATCTGACCAGCAGACACTTAAAGATCACATTGATAACTGGGCTTAGACTAGTAAGTATGTGCACAGGTGAGAAGAGGGGAGCGTGAGAAATGCAGCGTTTCAAGGACATATGTGCTTATATGTTGGTTTATAGTCAGACGTCTTTTAGATTAAATCTGAATTCAGATGTATAAACTCCTTTGACTGCAGTTAAAGTTTTAAATGTTCTTCTGTTCCCCCCTCTTGCCAGGATAAAAACGCCCTCCACCTGTACTCTGTAAATGGGAAGCACCTCTGCAGCGAGCCTCTGATGGAGCAGGTGACAGATATGTGTGTTTCTGGGGAGTATGTAGTCATCGGCAGCGAGCAGGGATACCTGTCCATCCGTGACCTCTACAGGTAAACTTATAGAAACAATATTGGTGATTTTGAATCAACATTAGCTGTTGGTATTTGGCTCTTCCACCAGTTGTTCTGTTTTATAAAGCCTTTCATCGAAAGCTTTGAAGAGTAGAGGCCTTTGTGCTTTAGCGTTTTAGCTGTTTCGGAGCATAACGAGCGACACCGTCTCAAATAAAAATTGCTCGCTGGCAGCTGCGCGTCCTACATGCATGGAAAGGTTACAGATATTGACCTCGAGCTTGTTTCTCCTCCGCAGCCTGTCTCTGTGCGCAGAGCCCATGGCCATGAGGGTGCCAGTGTGCTGCGTGTCAGCCACCAAGGAGCAGAGCCATGTGCTGGTGGGACTGCAGGATGGCAAGCTGATCATCGTGGCCGTGGGCAAGCCGGCGGAGGTAAAGAACTCGCTGCGGAACTACATCGCTCAGAGCCTTGAGGGATCGCCGCTCATGGCGTCCCCCCTGCTGGCCCCGCTCCGCGCTCGTTCACCAACACGCCTGCTCCACCAGCGTGACCAACTGGTGTTCAGCCCCACCTCCACCTCCCACAAACCTTAGCAAGCTCTAGTGCTGTGCATCCCCTATAACACTTTTATTGCTGTAGATTTAACACACACACACGAGACCTGCTGCACATATACCCCACGTTGACCTTTTAATCCACAGTCACCTGTTCTTCTCAGGGATGGCTGTCTCACACAGTCATATGGCTTCCTCACAAAACAACTACACAGGCACACAAACACATCTGAGCCACATTCCTTCAGCCACTAAAACCACAACTGTGAAATCGAAGCGACTTTTTGTGTGCACCTCATTCTGTGTTTTTGTTTCTGTTTTGATTTTTCTAATACTCGACATCTGTGCAAAACTCCATCCGATGCTGTCTACCTGAAGTGTCATTACATTCTGTGTTTTGAGTGTGCTCTATGGACTATAACAAAAAATGCTGTGAAACAGACTAATTAACGATTCTGCAAACTCAAGCCATATTTACAGTGTAGCTACAATCGAATAATCACTAATCCTGTGCCACACTGGCTTAATATGCTATGTTCATGTAAATAGCGTGTTAGCACACATGTAGGAGGTTGATCCAGACAGTCCCCCTTGGAATCACTGCGCCTTCCTGTTTTTTATCTTTTCCATTCAAATTGACTCGCACCAAAGCTTTAATTTGTTTTTCTTTGTTTGCCTCACTTGTCATTTAAGCTCCAATGAACTAATCGATCACTCATGAATCATGTTACCCCCTCACCCCCCTTCCCCTGTTTCCTTTGACTTCACGCTTTTCTTTCCCCACTCCCCCCCCTTCCTCCGCCTCACTTCTTCCACCTCCTCCTCCACTCTTCCCAGATGCGTTCGGGCCAGATCACACGGAAGCTGTGGGGTTCCAGCAAGAGACTGACTCAGATCTCCTCGGGGGAGACGGTGTACAACACCCAGCAAGACCACAACTGACCCGTTCCCCGCCTGTCCCCCGAGCCTTTAAACCATCCCTTTCAAGCACGTCGCACATTGTCATTTCATATCCGAGCAGATTCTTTCTGCCATCACCTCCCACGGTTTTATCAGGGGGTAGGTTTTGGGGTGCAGGAGCACCACAAAGCCTGCATGCCCACATGTGCATTTGAGTGCTCTTGCTTTGGATTGTGATCACATGGCGCTGGCGCCGTGGTTCCAATACAGAAGTAGCGCCAGCCTCAGCAAAACCACACCACTGCCCACTTCTCGCACACGCCACAGCTGCCCTCGTCATCAGAATCTTTACTACAGTCAGCCTCATTTAACGGTTAACTAACTGTTCTCTTGTATGTATGCAGGGATGGATGGATGTGTGTTTGCACACAGTTTTGCTGTGTGCTATTTGAAAATATTGTTTCAAGTGGCCTTTTTGCTCCCCCACCCCCTCAGTTAGCCTTAGGTGCAGACACTCGGCCTGTGATCTGCAGGCCAGGACGATTCATGGTTGCCTCAAAGCTGCCACCACGCAGCCTTATGCAGTAAGACGGCTCCACCACTCACTAGACCAAACTGTCTGCATTTTTCTATCGTTTTTATATACCCGTGTGTGTGTGTGATCTTTTAGTGATGTTTTATTGGGAGTTTGGTTTATGTGTGTGTATGTCTGTGTGCGTGCCCAGCAGCTTGGCATCTGTTCATATGCATGGCATTTTGGTTTTGAGATTAGACAAGAAATAGTGATGCAGAAGTCAGTCAGTTTTTTGTTTGTTTGTTTTTTCGTTTTTGTTTTTACATTTGGGGTGTAGCTGACGTTTTTTGTTGAGAAACATCAGAAAAGGTGTTTAAAGGTACTTTTTGTAGTCCCCCCTCCCCTTTCCAAAGTGTAACTAACAGTGTCACCACTAGGTGGCAGTGTTTTTACCAAACATTATAATTTTAACATTCATATTAAAATGATGCACCGTTTCCTCAAGAGGCATTGCCTGGTTAAACAATAAAATAATGACTCGCTTCATCACCTCGTGGGGAAAATTGTTTGATATCTTGTGTAAACAAATCCATTCACATTCTGTTGGATGCTTCAGTTAATTTTTGTTGATTGTTTTAAGCACGGGATTTTACAAAAAGTACTTTTAATGTTTTGTCATTAGCATATCATTTAAGATCTAGTTTTGTAAATAAAAAAACACACTACATTCTCAATCACAACAAGCTTTGACATGAAGATTTATCACAGCAGTGCAACGAAAAACAACTATAACGTCACGTTTCTCTGTGCTTCATTGAATGTTTTTAAGTTACTTGAATCTGTTTCTATTCATAAGTAAAAGTAACAGTTTTTTTCACACATTGTCTCATGAGTGACATATTTAAAAACTATTCTAACTGTTTAGAAATGAAGGAGAAAGTAGAAAACCTCAAGGGCTTTACGAGATGTCAGTGTTATCAGCAATACAGCTCCTTCATCGCATGCCTGTCGGTGCTTCCTTTCCTCTATTTCTGTCCAGCATGCCTCGCTCAGTCAGATCCTCTATTTTCCAGTCTTCCTATGGCTAAACTGGGACTGTAAATGGACTCCCTCTCTTCTCCTTCTGAATGCCTTTAGCTCTCATCATTGCCTCAAACCCCATCCCTCTTTTATTATTTGTGCTTCTCACTCGTTTTCCTGTTTATTTTAAAGTGACTGATTTCAGAGTTTTCGTTGTGTGGGGCCTCAAGAATGTTTGGGTCAACTGGGACAAACATGCATGTGAATGTGATTGCATTACTCTGTAATATACCGCAGTATGAAACTGCTGTGTGATTCATAATTTTGCACCATACCTGAGCGAGTGAGTGTGCGAGTGAGAGTTTATTTTCTGTTGCCAAATGTTTTTTATTCCTGTCTGATTCTGTGAACTTTTGCAGCCCTGTGGGTTTGGCACTGGGCACAGAGTCGCTCTAACGGTTATCTCTCTTGTTTTTTTTTTTCTCTGATTTTTGTATTTTGTTTTATTTAAATGTCAGTTTGGTGGATTGCAAAGACCAATCTGTGTCCTCCTTTACGAGATTTCTGTGAAAGGTGCACAAAATGTTCTATTAATGCAGTTTATTTTTCTTTTGTTTATTCACATTTTTCATTCAAAGACCACTGTTTGAGTTATTCCACGACTGCAACAGAGTGCCTTTTATCCCAGCGTGGTGTCCACATAGAGCTAGATTTCTCCTTCTCCTTCGTCCCAAACTTTGTTGTGAATCAAGTGAAAGCAGCATTCCACACATTAGTCCGTCGCAGTTGCACCGGGAACCAAGAATATGGGACTTCCAAGAAAAATCAAAGTACTATTTTGTGTCTTAGCTACATTCTCTGTAACTGTCACCAAAATGGATGTGTGTATATCTGTGATTATTTATGAATACAGTATATAATGTACAGCATGATTTTTATTTTGGCGTCGTTAAAATGTACTTTTGCACTTTCCAGGTACTAAATTGTAACAGATTGTTTTAACTTTGCTCCCTAATCTGTAAAAACTGCTTTGTATACACAAGTGGAAAATAATCATTAAAGTCTTGTCTAAATTCAAAGGACTTTTTACTCATTTCTTAGGGAATAAACTTATAGGAAGAAGAAACACACAGATGAGTAATATGCTGTGTTTTTATTCAAGAATGCGCAATCAGCTTGTGGCAGGTAACACAAAGGTATCGTAGGAAATGATACCCGCGAGCCCGTCTCACGTTGCTTCTTTGCGATTTTTCTTACGTAGGAATCATGTACGTACAGATGGACGCTCTCTTCAGATCACAGTTGGCAGTAGTCCACCGGCTGTTGTCTGCAGTGTGGATAGGAAAAGGATCATAGTAGATTAGTCCAGCAGGATAAAGATAATCCCAGTTTTTTATTAGGTGTCTTATCAATTTTATGTGACACAGACAGTACTCTGTAAAGCTTTGTTTAAAAGGTGCTTTTATGACACATGCCTCACAAAAGGAACCCTTGTCTAATATAGCACTCATGACTGAGATGAATAAGAAGATCAGGCATTTTAGTTGGCAAACTATTATTAATTTTAAGTCTCTTACAATTTGAGGGGGAAAAGTTATAATATTGAACCACTGCCTTTCAGTGGTAGAATGAATCCATAATTCAAACGCTGCTCAAAAAAATGAAATGAACACTCCTTAATCAAGTCAGCTAAACTTTTGGTCTGGTCAGTTCGGTAGCAGAGGGGGTTGTTAGTCAGCTTCAACTGCTTGGTGTTTAACAACAGGGGCAACAATGAAACAACCGCTAAAAAAGGAATGTTTTCCCAGCTGGAGACCACTGATGTTTTTTTTCCTCTCATCTTTTTTTTTTGACTGTTTTTCACTAGTTTTGCATTTAGCTAGGCTCAGTGTCACTACAGCTAGAATTAGGTGAGACTTGGACCCTACAGAGGTTGAACAGGCAGTCCAATTCCTCCAGGATGGCCCATCAATCACGCCATTGCCGGAAGGTTTGGTGTGTCTCTCAGCACAGTCTCGAGCATGGACGAGATTTCAGGAGACAGACAGTTACTCTAGGAGGGCTGGACAGGGCAAGAGAAGGCCATTACCCCTTAAGAAAGACTGATATCTGCTCTTTTGTGAAGGAGGAATGGCATGAGCACTGTTAGAGCTACAAAATGACCTCCAGCAGGTCACTGGTGTAAATGTCTCTTTCCAAACAATCCTAAACGGACTTCATGAGGGTGGTCTAATGGCCTGACGTCCTTTAGTGGACCCCGGTCACTGCTCAGCACCATGGAGCCTGATTGATATTTGCAACAAAATGCCAGAATTGGCAGATCCGCCACTGGTGCCCTGTGTTTTTCACAGATGAAACCCTGGGCACATGTGACAGATGTGAAAGCGCCTGGAGAACGTTGCTGTAACATCATTCTGAATGACAAGTTTGGTGGTGGGTCGAGAGAGGCACACAGACCTCTACAGACTTGGCAAAGGCACCCTGACTGCCATTACAGGTTAGGATGAAATACTTGAATCCACTGTCAGACCTACACTGGTGCATTGGGTCCTGGATTCCTCCTGGTGCATGACATTAACTGGCCTGTGATGTATGTGTGAGTATGCAGGAACTGCCTGCATACTCTCACTTGCCTGACCTAAATCCAACAGAACGCCGTGGGGACTTTATGTTTTCATCCATTAGATGCTGCCAGGTTGTACCTAAGGCTGTCCAGGAGCTCAGTCATACCCAGCCCCCAAATGTCATCTCATTAAGAGCATTTCCCTAGCATTGTCAGGTATGCTTACAAGCCAATACAAACTACAGATTGCCATTCTGAGATACTGCAATTAATTACTTTGATATTTTGGTGTGGCTTTGAATTTAGCCCCCTGTAGGTTGGTAATTTTCAATTCCATGAAACGACGTGCATCCCTTCATTCCTAACATATTAACCAATCCATATCAGTATATATTGAATCTTATCTGATGTGTCACCAAAGTGTTGCTTTAATTTTTTTGAGCAGTGTATAAAACAGTACTGTACTTTTGCAAGCAGGCTATTAAAGCATAAAACGGCAATATCGAGGTCTAAAGTTCAATAACATTACCTAACAACTCACACCAAATTAAGTGAGGCTGTAGCTACAACACAAAAGTGCTGTATTATGGTGGGGTCTTTATCTTACAACATAAAGAGCCTTCAAGGCAACTGTTGCTGCAATCTGGCGCTATAAAAATAAAACTGAATTGAATTTAAAGCAGAGGTGTTTCAAAGTTACTCTCTGGAAAATGCTGGAATAAATTAGTAATTAGTGTGAGAGTGGCGTGGTTCTTACCTAGCTCAAACATCTCCACACAGACAGGTTTGTCAGTGTGAATGTTGGGGTGGCCTGGCATCCAGTCGCTAAAACCCCACTCAGACCCGTCCACCCATGAGGCCTCTTGGTTCTGTGGAGTGCAGAATACATATGAAAGGTTAAAAAAATGTAGTCTTAAATAACCCAATTGTTTGTAAACTGTCAATAAAAATAAAAAGTTAGGATATGAGACCCTTTCTATGATGAAAAGTATGGCTAATATGACCATATTACCACTTCACTTGTTTTAAAACATCACTTAGTCACAGGACACAACAATTGCAATACTTTAAGATAAAAGTTTGAAGGTCAATGTCTCATCAAGGTAAGAATAACACTATCAGTCCTGCTGATAAGATATCTGATGACACTCTCCTTGGCCTCCATTCGTTGACACAGCTCATGACCAGACTGCTGGCATTACAGCCACTAAGAACTGGAGTAAAAGTGTGGTATAAGTTTATAAACAACTGTTTTGATATCTTGGTAAATCAACTTTTTCAGGGTGTTCTTAAGTAGAGAACTCCCTGAAAAACACACTGTTGTTTTAGCACCACATGTTTTGAGAAAACCTTATATACCTATATACGTCGCCAATTAACATGATAAACTTGCCGTGACTGTGGCTCCCAGCCAGGTTAGCACAGGGCTCTTCTTACCACCCTTGGTCACCAGGGAAATCAAATGGGAATGCAGATCACCACTGGTTACAGAAGCAAGCTCGGCATGTGGGGCAAGAGTTCTGCATTTGGCCTGTAGAGTGAGAAACATTAAATTTACATCCTTTAAATGAACAGGGGATTAGGTTTTTATATGTTTTTGGAATGGTACATAGTCTAACCTGAGCATCCTTGAAGGACAGCGGTGTAGGGTTGAACTCATAGCACTTGTTGTTGATAATCTCCCCCTGACATGCCACTTTTGGTCTTTGGATGAAGCTGTAAAAGGGCTCGGTTCCCTGTCTGAAGCCTCTTTGGAGAGGCAGAAATGGTTCGGTTCCCTGTCTGAAACCATCTTGGAGTTTCATAAAGGGTTCGGTTCCCTGCCTGAAGCCATCTC